ATTTGTTAGAGTTGGACGAGTTTCAATTCATTGGAATGTATTTTTTTTTTTTTTTGTACGTTCCTATTCTTTCGCCACTTTCTTTGGAGGCTACATGTTTTTTTTTTCACGCTCATCTGTTTTTCCTTTCGGAGCGAACTGATCTCCTCTAAATTAAGTAGACGTGTCCTATGCGTGATAGTTAAGTAGTTCTCACTCATTGGTAAATGCATTTGCATTGCGGTGCTTTTGGCAGCTCATGCACGTGGGTGTAAAGTGTGTGCTTGTACGAACCAGTGGGAAGTTTCGAAGCGCAGCAGTAGGATTGAGACATCCCTGCCTCCTTCTCATTGCTATATAAAAAAGTGGAAAGGGAAAAGGAATGCACAGATAATGATAACGAGGGATAAAGATGAAAGTGAAGTGGAAGAAGAGGGTGGTGATAATTCGTTTCGGGGGGGTAGAGATGGTGAGAGAAATGGCCTGAGCTATAACGGCAGCTCGGGGGGGGAAGTTCAGATGGTAGTACCTGTAGGGGATGCGACTTACGAGAAAATCAAGGAGGATAAGGCTGAACGAACTCGCAAAGGGGAAGACGCATCGATGAGAATGGATATAGAAGATTACACAGATAAGGAGGCGCATCCGGAACAGAGGCTATTGACTGAGGACCCATTGGAAGAGGTCGCCCCCTTCCAGGGTGGGAATAAGGCTCACGTGAAAAACGAACAAATGGAAAGCATCAATTTTAAGGCGATAAAGGTGGTACCGGGTGGCGAAGAGAAGAGACTATCGGGGGGGGCGTATGGGTATGTAAGTGATGAGAATGGCACAAGCGGAAGGGGTCAAAATGGAGCGGTCACTCCGGGCGGAGCGGCCAATCGGGCAGGAGCGGTCAATCAGGCAGGAGCGGCCAATTGTAGTGACGTACCTGAAGACTTAATCATACTACCAGCTGACGAAATTGGGGACAGGCGCAGGAGGAGAGTAAATTCCTCAGGCGAGGGATTATACACAGACGAAGATAAAGAAGGGCAGGACAATCACATGATGAAAAGGGGCTTCCAAAAATGGCATAACGAGAATATTATGGGCAAGGTGGCGGAGAAAAGTTGTAATAATATAATGGACGACACGTCCAATGACTTCACTGTTATCGATGCTCCTGACGATACAGCGTTGGAACGTGGTGCGCAGAATAGAGGAAGCCATAAGAGAAGCAAGCCTCTGTTTGACGACCCGAGTGTGAAGCAGGAGGGAGAAAAAAAAATGAAAAAAGGCCAGGAAGAAACCGCTGACTACGGAGTGGTGAGAGGCAAGGCGGGGAACCAAACGAAAGTGCGAACGAAGAAGGAGCCCAGGGGGAGGGCCTGGAGAGCGGCGAAGAAGGAGGACGTCGCCAAGGAGGGGGATACTGAAAACGTGGAGAGAACAACTAGTGGTGACCCGCCGAGGGGGCCTTCCAGAAAGGATAACTTTCACCTGTACTGCCAAAATTATAATAAAATTTTTGGAGACGCGGGTGATAGGGATGTCTCCAAATGTGAAACTGGAGGAATGATGAGCTCCACGCGGGACGCTCCTTCGGGCGACACTGACAGTGGCAATACCCGGAGTGAGAACACTCGCAGTGATCCAATCCATCCGCTTGACAGCCGCACCCTGGCGAAGCAAAAAGATGAAGAGAGCTGGAAGAACCAACTGAGCGAAATATGGAGCATAATTTACGACACAAATGGGGATGGTAATCCCGTGAATGGAAAAAACCAACTGAGAGTCAACAATCGAAAGAACAAGATAATCTATCCGTCCATTTATAAAGGTGACAAAAAGGAATGGTTTCGTGCAAAGAAGGAGGGCGAGTGGCTCGTCCACAAGCTGTGTGACTGGTTCTACAATGAGAAGGAAAAGCTATACTTTAATATAAAGACGGAGGGGATTTACTATGTTAAGGATGGCTCTTTTCTCAAAATCGAGAGCTCGTTTGACGAAAGGGGAGGCGACAGTGGAAGTGGCAATCGGAGTGACAGTCGACGGGGGAGCTTCAGTGAGAATGTACACGAAGAGGGCTTCTCATATGAATTCCATTCTGATGATACGTTGTTGAATAAAAAAGGAAAGACAACTAACGGGGATGGGAGAAATTTGTCTGCAAACGTCAGCGACATGGTCAGTGATCAGAGCGTGCCTGTGGAGGTCTCTGTATCTATTGAGGACAACGGCAGCATGAGAAGCAGCTCCAGTCGGGTCATTAGTCGAAGTAGCAGCGGGGATGCCGGTGCTGAGGCCGACTCGGGCAGCAGCAATTTGAGGAGTGACAAGACGGAACAGGGGAATGGCTCAGCTGATAGCGGATCTCCTGGTAGCGGTTCACCGGATAATCGCTCCCTTGATAGGCGACGGCCCAACCGGGACAACGGCGAGGGGAACGACGAAACGGTAGAAGAATTCAGCATGGTCCTGGAGGACGACTTAGTCTGCGGCACCTACAGCCAAAAGGGGGACCACAGCCGATGCGAAAATGAAGATCTTTACGTGACAAAGGAGATTCTGGATCTCAATAACGTGTCGGAGAGTGACGGACTCTGTTTCTTCAGTGGGGTGTTTGACGGGCACGGTGGATCCAACTGCGCGAGGTACGTAATGAAACACCTGAAGACAAACTTAATAGCAAAATTTAGGCAGTCCTTCCTAATCACATGTAAAAAGCAGAGCAAGGAGAAGGAATCCAAACCAAATGACTTCAGTGCCGAGATAAGGGCATTATATGATAGCTGCATTAAAGGGTTCGATATGACAGACAAGAATTACATCGAGTTGTCGAAAAAGTATCACTATAAAGATGGCTGTACAGCGTGTATCGTTTTGATTTACGGACCCGATGACGATGGGTCGCTGAAAGTCCTCTGTGCAAACTGCGGAGATTCAGGCGGACTTATATGTCATGATAGGAAGCCAGTGAAGCTGTCAGTAATGCATAAACCAGATTTACAAGAAGAACGGATGAGAATAATCAAATGCGGAGGGATCATAGCGAATATAAAGGGGATAAACCGAATCATCACGAAGCATAAGGTGAAAGGACAGACGGTTCGGGAGAAGACCTATTTGGCCTTGTCCACCTCCAGATCGTTTGGAGACATTTTATACAAAGTGCCTAAAAAAATTGTTCTGTGCAAACCTTTTATTAGTGTTTACACGATTGATTTTGACATGGATTCCTTTTTGGTGCTGGCTACGGATGGGATTTTAAATGTCCTTACGGATAAGGAAATCATCGATATTGTTTGGAGGAATATCCACAGGAAGCCGGAGGAGGCTGCGGAGGAGGTGGTCCATGAGGCCTCGAGGCGCGGCTCTACGGACGACAAGACGTGCACCGTCATTTTCTTTTACTGGAGGAAGGACATCTTTCGCGGCAAGTCCGAGGATGCTTCCATGGACGCGCCTCCGCGCGAGGAGTCCCCTGGCGAGGTGAGTGGAGCGGGGGGGAGATGGGCGATGGAGGGTTTACACCCCTGCGCCTTTGCCCTTTTCCTACGCCTTCCATGTGGTGACATTTTCCGTCATTTGAGGCGGCCTTTTTTCCTTTTATCGTTTTCTCCTTTTATCGTTTTCTCCTTTTATCGTTTCCTCCTTTCATCCTTTCCTCCCTGCAGGACATCAACATGTTTTCTGAAGTTTTCTGACCCGCTCAGCGTCCACTTGAGTGAATTTTTAAGGGGACGGCTCCGCGCCGCCCTTCCAAAGTAAATTCGCCCCTACTCATCACGCTGCTTCATCACCGAGCACCTGTCAGACCATTTTGATCCCCTTCGTAAAAGCGCAAAATCTGTTTTAATTGCCCCTTTTTTTTATGTACCTATTGTCACCGTTGTAGGGTGCTCTTATTGATGTTTTTTTTATTTTTTTCATTTTTTCCCTTTCAGGGGCAACACAAAATTTGAACAAATTGCAAATAAAAAAAGAATAAAAAAAAAAAAAAAAATTATAAAGCCAAGCTTTTTCACTGTGTTTGTCCTGGTGCTGCCGATTGACTACCCCAATTTTCGCGTGCCATTTCTTTTTTTTTTATCATCACGATGAGGCTTTATGGAAGACGATACAATTTCGACCTCGCCGAAGCTGCTTCACCCCCGCACTTACACAAACATACATACACTCACATACATATACACACAGGTACACACTTGCGTCCCGATTTATTCAGCGCGTTGCCAGAGGTAGGGTCGTTTCAAACCTTCGCAAGGTGTATGTTATAGTGTGTAACTTGGCGGCGGTGAGTTTGGGTCTTCCTGCCCAACGGATGCTTCTCTTCGGTGCGTGTTGCTGATGTTGGTCGTTCCGCTGAGAAATCACTTGTCCGACATGTGAGGGAGCTCCGACGGCTCAAACATCTCAGACAGCTTCGACATTTCAGACATTTCAGGCGACTCAGACATTTCAGGCGACTCAGACAGCTCAGACATCTGAGACAGCTGCTTCATCTCAGACTGCTTCGACAGCTGCTTCACCCTCTGCAGCTGCGTGAGCATGTAACTCTTCAGAAGGGGTTTGTGAAAAGTCACTAGGGCGCCTCCCTCAATGTAGGAATAATTTTTTATGTTCTTAATTAACGGGGCAATTATTTCCTCTTGCTTGGTTTGTTTGTAGCCAAAAATTTTGTTGTCTTTTGATTTTAGCAGACTCTGATATAAGTCATTATTGGTGTCCTTGAAACCGAAAATGATTTCGTCTTGTCTCTGTTCCAAGTAGAGGAAGGATGACTTCTTGTTTGGATTTAAAATGATATTTTCGTGCAGCTCTCCACATTTATAATCTTTGCTTAACATTTTGTAAAAATTCATCAGGGACTGTATATTTTTTAAGTCGAACGGAGCAAATTTTAAGATTTCATTTTGGGCCTTTTTCATCGTGTTCGCAAATGGTTTGCCCTTTTGAGCTGTCCTCCTGTCTGCTGTTACACCTAAACGGATGTTTCTGCTTGCCGGCGGGTGACTTCTCTTGAAGCAGCTGCCTTGTTGGGTATATCCGCCTATATGCACATGTTAATGCTTTTCACGCGCGTAGAGATGGGCTCCTACTGGGCCATTGCCGCGGCGGGGAAGCAGTCGATATAATGGCAGCCTCGTACAGTTACGCCCATGCGGATGGTGTCAGGAAACCTTCCAGGAATGCTATCAATAATGCTACCAAATGTGATTGCTCCTTTTTTTAAACTCGTTCATGTGGCGAAAAGGAACTCTTTTGCGAAGGTGATGAAAATTTTGAAGGGAAAAAAAAAAGAAAACAAATGTACACTTTTTAAAGCGATCCTTGAAAAATGCCGCAAGGAAAAAAAAGGAAAAAAGCGCTCTAAGATGAAACAAAGAAATGTAAAGAAAAATAAAACGTGGAAAAGCATCTCCTGTTGTCAAATATCAACAAAGGACAAGCTCTTCGTCACGTTTATGAAAAAAAAAAAAAAAAAAGGAGATGGGGAGAAGAGTACGTAGTAACAGTTTTCATCTCCTCCGGATGACATTACTTGCCTAGGTATTTTTCTCGTCCCCCTCGGTGGGAGACTTGACCGATTTGGCTACCCAATCTAAGTAGTCCTGAACGGGAAAAAGGGGAAATTTCAATTGGTAAAAATAGGTGTGAAGAAAGGAAGGCCCGTCCGTTGGATGTCTTATCTTCTCATTTGGGGATGGAAGCGGGGGGACACAAGTTGCGGTGTGACGTTTTTACATACATAGAGATATATAGGAATATGTAGGGACAGATAGAGGTATGTGGACGTATGCAGAGCTATATGTATATATTTTTTCTCTTCCTCCCCTTTTGTGCGCGGCGAGGTACTCCAAATGCATGCCGCTATACTCGCGAATTGGTACACGAAGCAAAAATGCGTAAAGGTGCTGCTTATCCCCAGCATCTACTCCGAACCGACCTTGCTGCCTTGATGTATTGGGATCGAAATGACCTGAACGGGGATGAGAGGGCACAAAAATGGGGAGTAATGTACAAAATTATAAAAATGGAGAAGCGAAATGGCAAATCAAACGGTAGGCATATTATCGCACCCCCACCCTGTTGACCCACCTCTGGCACTTCGTAGGGATGGTTTGCTTTCACTGCGTCCACAATTTTGGAAAATAAATGCTTCCTCGTTTTGATCATCATCAGGACTTCGTTATCGCGCTGTGCAGGGGAATGGAGTGAGAATGTATGACGTGTAAAGCGGAAGGGGGAGAAGGGAGCACGAAGGAGTGGCCAGGATGTACACATAAACATAAGAAATGTGTATTAGCCTCGTGGAGATAAACATAAGGACTTATTGCACACGTGGAGATACACACAGAAAACACTCAATGCACAAGCGCTCCTTCCGTCACAGTACAGCTATCTCGCCCTTCCAGTGATATAAGCTGAGGACGCCGGGGATGATGTTCACACAACTGGCTAGCCCATCTTCAAGCAGCACATTTGATATCTACAAAGTTGTAAAACCGTGGCGAGAAAGGGGGGCGTGAAAAGCGGAACAGCGCACAGGGGTATATGTTTGCAGCTCCACATTTTTCCACCTGTGTACATCGCGCAGGGGAATATACAGGAGGAAGGATTGTACAGAAGGAACGAATGCACAGGAGGAAGGAATGTTCAGGGGAGCATTGACTCTTAACTCGGTCTGTTCTTTTTTTATCCATTTCGATTTCCTTTCCTTTTTATCTGCTTTGTTTTTGTCCCCTATTAGTACTCCTCCCTGCTCGACCCACCTTTTCAGCGACATCGCTTCCAGGCGCCGTAACATACACAGCTATGAACTCTCTGGGGTCTTCCATTTTTGTGGAGAACGATCTCGCACAAGATGAATTGCTTCTTCCTCGCGCGAGGGAACCTTTCTTTAAGAAGCTTTGCTTTGTACTGTTATTTACAAAAAGGGAACACAGAAGTTTATTGTGATACCCCTTCCTTGTCGCTGCAGCTAGCGAAATGAGCATGGTCAGCAGTGCCACTGCGCGCATGAATGGTGCTATTGGCGTTGTAGGGAAGCGGCGTGTACAACGCTGTACCAGAGGAACGACGCGTGTACAGCGTGGGGAGCAACTTTTCGCAACGCAGCGGTTGGAAGGGACAAACATACGCGCCTACACGATCGGAGAGTTACATTTACATAAGTGCATGTGTTTATATATGTGCTATGTGTGCGCGCTGAAGAGGCATCGGCAAGGCAACACGTTCTTGGGCGACTTCATGGGGATGTCTGCCAGGAAACCCAATTTGGCCATATGTTTGCATAAGGAAGAGAAGAAGGAACGCTTCATTCCTTTGTAACGCCGCGGTAAGGTGTTTCAAAACGCTGCACAGAGGGGTGGCAATTAGCTCGGAACATTTTGTAAGCGCTCCTTTGTCAAGCGAAGAAATAATCGAACGCAGATTGATACAATTCCATGTGCTCATTTTACACCCGATTGAAATTTTAAAAGTTTATGCTTGTTTTTTTTTTTTTTTCATCCTGAATGAGGTATAGGGGGTGGGTTCCGCTACGCCGCTTCCTCCGATGCTTCCTCAGGCAAGTCGTCCTGTTTGTAGTTCCACCACTCTGACTCTGAAGGGGGGGGGAAGCGTTACCCAGATGAGAGAAATGGGTTAAGAATTTTTCTAGTGGGGACACAATTCGGGGGCGGTCTTGCGCCACGCTGCCATTCTCGTCCATTCGGCGTCGCCACATTTGGGTCATGTTCGACGGGAGAGACGAAGGCGTGTATATGAGCTGATACATACATTTATATGTGCATACCCCCCTCATTGGGGGTGTTTTTCTCTTTTTTCCTCTCCCTTTTCCTCTCCCTCTGGCCCTTCTCTAACCTATGCTGTCCCCATCCGTGTTATCCTCCGAGTCGTTGAGGGGAATTAGTGTGGGCGCAACCCCGCGGACGGTAAGCGGCAAATGTTCAAAATGGAAATTGTCATTTTTTTCGAATTTGCCTCTTTTCTCTGCAATGAGTAAGGCGAATGCCTGGTGTGTTGCCTCCGTTAGATCGCTAGCGGACGAAGAAACGTCCAAAAACTCCAATGCACAATAGGACATGTTAAGTGAATTAATGAGGAGAGTCAAGCCTCTGCTATTAATGCGACACCCGGACACATTGAGATATTTGAGGCCTCTAAAACAGTTGAGCGAAAATGAATCACAGCATTCGTAAAAGTCGTCGTTTTTGTCATATATTACGTTTCTCCTTTTTTCTTGCAAGAACAGCAGTTTCGACGTTTCGCTAGCTCTGTTAAGGGATGGAACACCGATGGAGGAAAAGAAATTATGCTGTTCGTTGTGTCGGTTCGTGATGAGCTCCTTCACTTTGTGTATCATCTGCGAGTCGTCATTTTTGGAATTCGTTTCTTTTGCTTTGGTTAGATGGAGAGGGAATGAGTTGCCTTCGCTCGAGTTGGACGTCGATTTTTGCGAGTCAATTTCGGGGAATTCTTCCCACGCAGGGAGGGGTCCAACAGGGGATTCGCTAGGCGGTACAACCGGCGGTCGAGTAGGCAATCCAGCAGGTGATCCGACAGGCGATTTGGCAGGCAGTTCAGCACGAAGTCCACCACCGTGACGTATCTCACCCTGAGCGGTTAAATCATCTTGGTTGCCCACTTCAACCGTACTTCCTACCTCTTCCCTGGGAAGCGTAAGGACCATGGTCGGGAAGGCCTCTCCCCCCCGCAGCTGCGTCTTCAACTTAATTGATCTTTCTACAATGCTACACTGCATCGCTAACGCATCGGCAAAGTAAGCACAAGAAAAATCCGTCAAGTCATTATTCGACAGGGAAAGTTCCGCAATGCTGAGATTGAATGACAAAGTTTGGTAACAGAAATGTTTCAATTTTCCATCCGTAATTCTGTTATTTGATAAGTTAATCATTTTTAACGTCTCTTTATTTTTTAACGCTTCGCTGAGATTGTTCATGTCGGAAATGTCATTATTCGAAAAATCAATCGCTGTAATTTTGTTTTTATTTTTTTTTAAAAATTGACAGAAAAGTGAAAATCCATGGTCATTAACTTTATTGTTTGCAAAGGAGAAAATAGACAAGTTGGGCGCTTTACTAAGTCCGTTAATCAGCTCTTTAAGCAGTTCATTCCCATTTTCCTGTTTGTGTGTTCCATTTTGACCAAAGCATATCCCAGATAAATGTAATTCTTTTAAGTTTAATTGGGAGGTAAACAACATTTTCATGTGCTCAGAGAATAAGGCGGAAGCAATGGCATTTTCAGACATATTTAAACTGTGTACGTGTGTGCATTTCTGGAAAAAGGAGGATAAATTCTCATCATTCAGTTCTATATTTCTTATGTATAATTTGATTCTCTCATTATTATCCTTACTGATGAGGTTACTTAATTTTAACATAACAGAGGGTCCCAAATGATTGTCGGACAAATCCAGTTCACGTACATTTGTTTGTATATTTTTTATGTGATTTTTTATGTCACTTTTTGCCTGACTGTTCTGGTGAAAATTGGTGTCTATTTCTTTCCGACCTGGGGAGAATTCTCTTTTGGACGGAAACTTCGGGGGGAAAAACTCCTCGACAATTTCGTTTGCACCGTCGGACTTAATCAGGTTGTTGGAAAGATTTAGGGAGACGAGTCGGGGAAGGTACTTGAGGCACTTGGCCAGGATTTTTGCGCTATCCTTCGGGGGGAGGGGGGGAACGGCGTCGTGTGTGCAACGTGGGTAGCGTGGTAAGCGGTGGGTAGCAACATTGCCGGTTTGTTGCTGCTTTTTTGATGCCTTTCTTTGTTTTTTTTTGCTTTTTCGCTGTTATTTCGCTGTTATTTCGCTGCTATTTCGCCGCTTCTTGGTCGCAGCTTGGCAGCGCCGTCACGGCCGCCCCGCGTAGGCGCAGCTTGTTCTAACATTAGTCAAATCGTTGCTCGATAAATTAAGCGTAACCAAGTTGCTGCTTCTCAGCAGGCAGGGGATGAGGATGGACATACCCCAGTCGGAGATTTTTAAGCTTCCGAGTTGTATTTCCTTAACGGGGTAGGGGTGGGAGCTTCCCTCCGGCAGGCTGCCCGTCGATTCGTACGTGAGTCGACCCTCCTGTTGACCCTCCCGTTGACCCTTCCGTTGACCCTCCTGTTGACCGCCCATCCCATCCTCCTCTCCTTTCCATTTGTAAAGATTCATATTCGAAACGAAGTCGGCAATGTCGTCCTCGTTTATCATCGGGCTCGTGGCGTACATGACATTGTCTCTTAGCTTTATTTTGTGTGACATGGTGTGGTCCGATGCGTATATGGAAGGGTGGCCTCTCCTCGTTGGGGTGATTAGAAAAAGGCAGGAAGGGCAGACAGATAAAGCCAAACAACTTATGAGTAGTCCGCTCGTGGGTGTGTTAACCGGGGAGGGGATTATGCACACGGATGTGCAGCAACGGATGCACACACACATGAATATATGAAAAGGGCTACATTCGGTGTGCTGATTGCGTCGAGTTTTTGTTCCACTGTCTCCCCCCAAAAAAGTGAGAAGGCACGCCGAGTGACGTACGAAATTAGCTGTACGGAGACTCCAAGGGGTGAAAAGAACAAAAAAAAATGCTACAATTTAGTTACACTATTTTGTTTCCACTTAATAGAATTAAAACACTTTCTCAAAGAAATCACTTTTGTTTGTTACTAACAAGTGGCACATGCACGGATGCACAGTGCCTGATTTACTATTTTTTTTCTTTCATGTCCCAAAAAGGTATCCACGCAGTCCTGGAAAAAAGAAAAAAAAAAAAAAGAAAGTTCCTCTTCGCCCAAGTTCTCCCCTAGGGGGAAGAAACATATAAGCCCCTTTTTTCGAAATTATTTTTCTTCATCCATTGCAAATTGCGAAGGTGTAGTAGGGTGTGTTGCGAGGAAGTGGTGTGGTCTCATTTGGTCAATCTGAGCTTCGTCTGACTGGATAGGGAACTTCCCACTTCCTTTGTGTACCCCCTGTGTTTGACTACCCCTAGAGGAGTGGTATCCATTCGATATTTACTTATGTGTGTAACTACTGATGCCTTTGGTGTTTTTGGTGTCTTTTTCCAATGTGACCCTCTGGTAGAAGAGGATAACTAGTGGGGGGCTTTCTCCGCAGAGGTGTCATGAATGGCACATGTGAAAATTTCCACCTGTGTTGTGTGCTCCCCATTTTTTCGCGCAAGGAAAATTGTTTACCATTGCAAGGGGGGTGAAAACAGCACATTTGGATTATCAACCATTCCATTTTAGGAAAATAGAAAAAGTTAAAAAAAAGAGGCGTTCCTCATTCAAAAATTGGGAATGGAAAAGGAGGGGAAGTGCATTCCATAGCGGACACAGCCTCCGTTGAGATGGAGGCGCATCATATGAAGCTGCTAGCCGGGGATGGGACTCAGGAAAAAAAAAAAAAATGCCCTTAAAAATATACACCTGCGCAGTGTTAAAAAGGAGGGGAAGTTGGGAACAGGGCACCATAGAAAGAATCTGAGCGTGGTCGTGCTCTGCGAGCGAAATGGCCCACATTGGTACACACAGAGCGCACTTTCTCTTATTATCATGTTTTGCATTTTGTTTGCCATTTTGTGTGTCACGTTGTGCTCACTCTGTTACAGCTACCCCCCTTTTGGTGAACACAGCAACGGGGTGTACAAAATGACCACACGTGATACGGGAGAATGCCCGCCTCGTCGCAACTCAGCAAAAGTGACAGGTGAGCGGCACAGTTAAAAAAAAGTAATACAGGGGAGTAACATAAACGGAAATGCGCACAGGACAGAAAAAGTTTTGTCTCATGCGGAAAGAATGGCAACGGGAGGGTGTCTCTAACTGGGCGCCAAGGTGTGCCGACGTAACTCTACGTACATGGTTATGGGCGTGTATGTCCCCATGCTCATGTGTATACTTGCTCCGGGGGGACACTAAAAATTGGAGCGCCGCCAGCTGTCCCGGCGAGTGGAGGGGTACAGCAGGGTCATCATAATGGGCAGAAAAAAAAAAACTGCTAAAATGGAAAGTGAAACGCTGAAAAAAAATGGCGAGAAAAAAATAGCTAGATAAAAATGGCTAGCAAAAAAAGGACAGCAAAAGATGAACAGCAAAAAATGGCCAGCAAAAAGATGCCTAACAACAATATATAGCAGTAGAAACTAACAAAAAATTGTCGGGAAAAATGTGAACAATCAGGGCAGCAGAGATATTCCAAACAATGACAACGCGTTAACAACGGCACACCTGCAGGGGGGGCGAGGGACGTGCAACTGTGGAAATGCTCTGGAGTGAACGAAGGACGGGGGCTTCCACATTGTAGCGACGTGGGGAGAAGTCAAAATTGGGCGGGAACAAAAATGGGGTTTCCCCCTGGGAGCAGACACGCCAAATGCAACGTGAGGGACTACTTGTCCAAATTCAAAATGGTATCCCTAATGTTGTAGTTTTTCGAAACGGCCCTGTAAAAATTCGACACGGAATTGTTTATATTGTTAAAGGATATGTTGACGTTTGAGTTGTACTGCTTAGAGAGTGCTGAGAAGACAATGTCTTGTTTGTCACTGTAGTAGCCATTTTTGTTGTTACTTTGTATGCTGTTTGAGAAATCTTCACTTTGATTACTCCTGTACAGGTAATTATTTTCCTCTTTTATAAAATGGCTCATTCGGTTATCATTTCGGGTGGAGCATGGTGAGGGTGGGACGCAGGTAATTTGGCAGGCATTCGAATAGTACGGTAAAATATTCCCAGTGCTCATGTTGCTGAAGCTATTGAGTGGGGAATCCGTCTTCATGGTGACGCTGCTGTTGTTTCCGTTGCCTGGCGCGTTGGTTAAATTAGTGACGCTTGTCAAATTCGTGACACTCGTTAAATTGGATAGGCTGGTGGGGCTTGTTCCGTTTTGTCCGCTTTCGTTGGATGTGGCCTCTCCGATGGTGCTGTTCGACGCGCTGTCATTTGGACCGCCACAACCGACACTGTCACTGCCAACACCGCCACCGCTGCCAGCGCTACTACAGGAGGGCGTGGCAGAGACGTTCCTCTGAGCAGTACCGCTGTTAGGAAGGCTCAATGTGTTCTGATTGATAATGTTGCTAAAAAGACTGACTGAATTAGAGTTGGTCAGATTGGTTTCCATCGGTCTGCTATGCATAGCGTTCATTTTGTTCTCATACAGATTAGTATATTTTATTCTCAAATTATTCGCGCTGGTGTTATACATAGGAATGAAGTCGCTAGCATTTCGAGTGTTTGATCCTGTTTGATCTATCAGAGACTTTTGTCTTAACAGTTTATTACATAACACCTGAGCTGAATGAACTACTTTGGAAATTTTTTCGATGTTAATTTCGGTGTGATCTATGACGTAGTTTCCTCTGGACGCTCTGATTAGGGCCTTCTGCATCCACGAGATGTACTTGATTAGCTCTATTATCATGGAAATAATTTCGTCTGGATTCTTCGCATCATGTTCATTGTGGTTGCTTCGGCTAGCTGGGCACGCTTCGCTGGCAGCCATGTAACAGCTGCTCTTGAGGAAGGAGTGGGCGCCGATTCCGTTACTGGCATTCTTCGAGTCGTAAGAACATATGCGCTGCTGGTGGCGCTGCTGCTGTTGCTGCTGGCCCGAGGCGGCGCTTGCGGTGAGGCCTCCGTTCTGGGGGGTACCGCCACTGCTGGGTTTACCGCTGGGGTTCGCCTCACCACTGTGCATGCGAGAGCTTTCGCCGGCTCCGTCGTTCCCTACGCGGATGTTTCCCACGCGTCTGTTTGTTACGCCGCTATTCCCTACGCTGCTATTTCCTACACTGTTGCTTCCTATTTCGTTGCTGCCTCCAAGGGTGGATGGGCCATTTGGAGTTGCCACTGATGGCCCATTCGGAGCTCCGCTAGAACCTCCACTGGATGCACCGTTAGCTGCACCCGCTGCTGCCCCCCCTGTCGCACCACTTGAAGGTTCATCCCCTCCTGCTGCTCCGCTGCTGAAACAACGGACCTTACTCGAATTGGAGAGGTCGTTGCAAAGAGGGGCACTCTTCCTCCCGGCGCGAGAGGGGTTATTAGTACTAGTGGTCATTCCAGTCGCAGCGGAGGTTGTGCAAGAGGAATCGTTAGTGCTGTTAGAAGACACGGCAGGGAATGTTTGTTGTTCCCCCTTTGCATTATTCACCCGTCTCATTTTGTTTATTAGATTCTTCGGTTTGACTCTGCATGTGTCACACCTGACCTTCCTGAGGAAACCCTCTATGGAGAACTTGGTGGCCTTCCTCTTCTTGCGGCAAATTTTGCATGTCATCTCAATTCCGTCGGCTACACGTAACGCTTCCGTCTTGGATGTCGTCACAGCGATTACCGTCGTCTTCAACATAATGAGGGTATCAGACAGATTATTCTCATCCCCTGGAAAAAATGCATGTATTTTTTTTATTTCTCCTTTTAAGTTATATATTTTGAAGACATCTCCGAAGAGCATATACGAATTCTGAGTGACATAATACCGCTTCGTCTTCACAACAACAGCTCTGTAGTTCACAAAATAGACGGACTCTACTTGGTTCGTGATGGCTGAGGAGGGAGGAGGTATGTGTGTCCCGGGAGTGGCCTTGTCACTCTTGTATAGGGAGTATTTTTCGTACTTATCTTCGTCCGAGGGGGTTTGTTCATTCTTGGTCCTCTTCATCTTGGGACATCCGTTGGGTAAGCGGTGTGCGGTTTGTTGGGGGGGGTGGTGCGTCGGATCGATGGGGAGGCCAAGAGATGGAAGCACGGGAGCATTTGAAGACGTCGGAAGGGTTGAAGAGGATCACGTGAATGAAATAGCTGCAAATCGCTTAAATGGCTGAAATAGCGAATGGGCTGGAAATAGGGCCGACTGGTCGGCCCCTTCGGAAAGGAGAAATTAACAAAGCAGAGTGTTGGGTGGAAGATCGGATAGACGTTGTTGATGCTTTAAACATACATTTGGGTGTGTATGTGTAGGACGGGGCCCACGTGAGTGGGGGGTAAAGTGCCTGTTTTTTTTTCTTTTTCTTTCTCGCTTCGCTCTGTCGAAATGTGGGGTGGAGTGAAGAATCCCATTGGGGGGGATTCACCGCAACGGAGAAGTTCTTGTGCAGTTTTATGTTTGCTCTCGAGTTGGTAGTGCATGCAGGAGCATTTGTGGAGGAGGCCCCTGGTCGGGCAATCCGATGGTAGAGTAGTCCCCTGGTTGGGCCCCCCTTTTTCATTGACAGCCGCCAGAACTGGTTTCTCTGGAAAGCCGCACAGGAATGTAGCTTGTCATACGGGGGAGAGAAACTTGCAGGACAGGGCACCCTGTATAGCACGCGTGGTAGTAGGAAGATCACACAACTCTAGATATATCAGACATGTCCAGAAGAAAAGAAAAAAAAAAATGCCGAGAGTGATTCTCAGATTGGAGGCAACTATCCTATCATTTTTTTTTTTCCCCGCTTAATTTTAAAATGCACGAGAAGAGCACCTACTCTTCGGGGAAGCATATATGTGTCCCTCCCGAAGCATAAGCGGCGGTTGTTATTTTGTGCGGCTGATATGTGGGGATAAATAAGAGCGCAAAAGAAGGAAAAAAAAAAAATTATACGTATGCTCGAGTGGGCACTATTAAACATACGGTCTCATATGAACACAAGCGGAAACGCAACCATGTCATCATGTCGCTGTCTTAATTACGCAGCGGGAATAAAGTGGAGACCATGCCTGAACGGGGGTGGGGGGTTAAATGGGGGGCCCACGGGGTACACGAAATTAAAGTGAGGTGTAGGAAGGAAAACAAAAA